TGAATTATATCATGAGTGACGTTATTGTGCAACACAAAACACATCCAGCGATAATATTCAATTATATCTAGTCATACACCGAGAAACATATTTTATGTATCCTAAACCTATTTAATAATAAAGTTACAGAAAACTATCCATCACTCTTGTAAAATACGAACCTGAGATAGAAGGATGACAAAATGGCTTATCAGACCTACCTTAAAAAATATTTTATTTTGTTTTTTCTTATCTGCTGTCCTAAGAGCGCATGTATGCGACACATGTGCATAGAAAAATAATGTTGGATCTTATGCGTCGATTGCAACACAATTGTGACACATTATTTTTCTAGATGATATCGGCATTAAATATCTGCTTTTTCTTTCACTTTTTTCAAAAGAACTCTTCTCCCGTCACCATTCTTATCAGTAGTCAAACAGCTATAGAAGTCAAATTTTATATACCACAGTAATTTTTAGCTGGTAAAGTCTGGAGAGTGTGGATTAAAAGTAAACATGATACTCATTCAAACCCACACTCATGCCCTCAAGATTCAACGTAGTTAAATGTCGTAAGTCAAATTCAAATTACTCTAGATAATTTACTGCAAGTGTGAGATTCTGTTGTCACAAGAATAATAACCCTCAGTAACTTTATCGTTCTTTTTTCGAAAAAGTGATAACGAGCAGAAAAACAACAACAAGAAAGATTACGAATGACTAAGGTGCTTTTTGACAACTGAAGAGCGATATCATCTTCCTCATCCTCGAAGCTATTTGCCTTATAAAACTCATAACAGAGCCCCCTTGAACGAGAAAACAAAATGCTTGATAAAGAACAAGCATGATTTGAATGTGATGCATTATATTCATCGTACATTTACATCCATACTCAAGCTCAAATATCTATTTATTATGTATATCAACAGAATCGATTATGCATGTCCTAAATACATCATTTCATCTTTAATTTATTTGAAAAATGGCATCATGTAATCGAGAAGTAAATTGTGTGATCAATATAGATCAACTAAAGAATGCTACTTTTTGCTTCCATAGCATGATTTTTTATTTTTATATTATGAAAAATATTTTTTTACACAAGTGGAGCAAAAGTCTGTCTCAGGACAATAATGTAGACGATGTTCGTGTTCATTAAATATAAATCTTTTCTTGCATATATCACAGTATGCTGCACCTTTTGCTTTATAGTATTCTTTACATGTTTCTTTGTAATTTGTAGATATTTTCTCGAGTACTGTGTAGAGAAAATGTATTTGTTCCGATTGTTGCTTGACTGTTGCATTGAGTTCCGTTATCATCGGTTGAATTTGAACTAATGGGCATATACTAACATGATCTTGCATTTTTTCATGTTGTCCTGTCCAACTACACTTGATATCAGCTGCTGGACATGATACAATTGTCTTCATACATTTTATTGCATGATCTTTGAAATTCCCACGTTGAATATTAGTTTCAGGACAGGATTTACATTTTACAAGTATTTGATTGAGTTGATTGAGAAAGGGACGTAACGTAACAGGTTTAAAATCTTCAAGTGTCAATGTATGACGGCATGTTGGACATTGAGACATTGTCTGAAATGTATCGGTAATACATTGACGACAGAATGTGTGTCCACATTGATTGGCCGAGAGAGGTTCTTCTAACGGATCGGTGCATATAGGACAAAGAAGATCTTCAGGAATTGATTTGTCGTTTATATACTCACAATTATTATTGGCAGCCATAATAAGACACAAAATTAAGTTTATGGTAAATGGAAAGACGCTTGGCTATTGATGAAAACTTGTGTTTCTTTGTTAATAACAAGGTAAGTATACGTCGATAGAAAAAAATGGGGCAATGCATTCTCTTTTAAACTTTCATTTTTTTTTTGTTCTGTTCTGTTTACAGTAATAACAACGTGTTGTTTTACAATAACATACACAAAAAACAAACATTTTATCTTCAAATTGTAGATTTTCTTTCTTAAGGGACGGCAGTTTTTGATTTGAGATTTTATTCCTATTGATAAGGTTACCCTCTATCATGTCAATGAAGTTTTGGTATACACATATATTGTAGAAGAAAATGAAAAGTGGTATTAGAACACCCGTATGTTTTTAGAGTTCCCATTAACATAGATACGGAATGCGTGATCAACAAAATATAAGTCGTTTTGTTTTAGTTTATACGTTAAATGATGTAACATTTTCTTCATCTAATTAAAAACAAAGACGATCATCTCGAAGTACTGAGTTGATATTAAATACCATCAACGCAAGATACATGTCAATCTAGATATGATTCACTTAAATTACAAATAAAATTTCATTATTAGTATATAATCATATTCATAATATGAAACTATTCACAAACAAGTCATTAAGAATTATATATATAAGAAGAACATTCATGTTCCTACTCTATTGGTTTATTTAACATATAATTTAGCGACAACAAAAAAGAAAGGGGTACACAATCTTTTAAGAATTATTAACTTGATGAATTAACTGAGTATAATTTGATGATGTTAATAAAAAACGTTGAAAAAATTCTAATTGTGATTGTTTATAACATTTTAAAAGTGAAAAAGCTTCTTTTAATTGAAACCAATGTCTTTGACGATCAAATAATCTTTTTTCTTCCCAATCATCATATTCATGTTCAACATAAACAACAAAAACATTTGTTCGTCGTTTTCTTTCTAAATTTTCAAATACACCTAAATCACGAATAATTCTTCCTTTAACACCAGCTTCTTCATACAATTCTCTATGTGCTGCTTCAATAGTTGACTCATTTTGTTCGATACCACCACCAGGAATTATCCAAGATGCTTTATCACGAGATGTTATTAATAAAATCTTGAACAAAAAAATAAATAAATAGAAATTTCCTTCGAATAAAACAAAACTAGTTCTTACTTCATCTTCACGTTCATTTCTTATACAAATACAAGCAGCTCGTTGTCGATAACCATTCTGATCAATTAAACGTATTTTTTCACTCATTTTTCAAACAAACAAAGACATATTGAGAATTATAGTTAACTTATTTGTAGACGATCAGTTATTATCTGATAAAATAAAATTTTTCTTCATTCTGTTTTTCTTTATTAATTATAATAATCGATGAACGAATGGATTATTTCTTTCTAAATGGTTATATATACACTTCAATCATTTATAGTTAATTTCGTTAGATGTCACTAAAACACTTTTATAAAGATGTATATCTATATATACCTTAGAAATAATTGAATGATTAATTGGGTCAAATGTTTCTTTTTCGAAATAAACGTTTGACTAATATTGTCTATATGATGATTATTAATGTTGCATATTTTTTTTCTCTCTCTATTCTATGTTTTTTTTTATCAATAATCATGAGATTTACCAAGAGATCCCATGCGGAAAGAAAAATATATGAGAGATAGGAATGCAAACGGATGTGTTTCTTGAAAATAACAATTAGATAACTACAGTAAATGGCATATGACGTCTGCATTTTTATAAAGCTAAGAAAAATATTTTCTTTGATCCAATCATATGAATATTTATATCACAATGACACACACATATTATAATATATATATATATATATTTCTTGAAGCATACATATTAATTCTAGATACAGAAAAGACAAAAAAGGTTTTTATCACAAAAACAAAAACAAAAAAAAGAAAATCTCGATCACAAAAGTTGTAAGGCATATAAAGAAGAAGATGAATATTTATCTTTTTCTATAAATAAACAATTTAAATCAAACAGTGAATTAAATGTATGACGACGTTTAATTAACTGTCGATCAGAAGAAGAAAGGAAATTATTTTGTACTGAATCTTCTTTAATTATTAAAATTTGTTGATCAACTTCATTGATTTGTTGTTTTAATGTATGAAGAATATTTTCATGTTGAATTAATTTCGATTTTAATAATGAAGTTTGTTGAACAAAATCTATTTCATGAACTGGTGATTGATCAATAAAACAAATACTTGAATTACTTATTCTTTCATAAATCTCATCATCTTAAAATTCAAATATATATATTCATTCAAAAAATTCAACTTTGTTGTATTTTATTACCTTTAGTTGGAGGTGAAATAAATGTTTCATTAGTTATTTTTTTTCGTAATTTTTTTCTTCGAATATTTGTTAAAGTTTTTGATTTATATTTATCATTTGATAATGTAAAATAATGAAATATATGTGAAATATCTCGTAATGATTGCGATGGTTTTTTTGTAGTTGTTGTTGTACTTATTGATGAACTTATATCTGACATAGAATAAACAGCTGAATCTGTTGATGATGAGACAATTGGATTTGCTTTTAATGATGAATCAACAGAACGAGATCGAGATGATAAAGAAGAAAATTTTTCTTCCTTTTTATTATTTCGTCGACGATTTCTACTGAAGACAAAAAAGAAAACAATATTTATTATTTTCAAATAAGAAAGCAACACAATCAAAATAAAATCATGCTGCTTAAGAAATAGCTAGGTGGGAAGATCAATCAAGCTCAGCTTACAATAAAATTTTAATTTGGACGAACAACACTGGAACGAGTTTTTTTCTTTCGATTAAAACGGATTTTTTTAAGATAAAAATTTACAATACCTTTTAACTGAAATATTTATTGGTTTTGATGTTTGTTGATCTGTTGTTGTTGTTGTTGTTGTACTTAATGATGATAAAGAATCAAGTAATAATGGTGATGACCAACGTCTTTTAGCTGCACGAATAATTTGTTGAATTATTTCAGATGGTTTCGTCTCATTAGTCAATGATGATTCAGGATCAGTATTACCAATATTTAATACTGCTGGTAATTTTGGCATTTGTGGATTGATTTCAACTGGAATTTCATCATATCCATTTTGATCAAAAAACCATTCATACTACAAAAAAAACATTTGAATTTCATATTATAATTGATTTATGTCACATACATATAAAATAAATGATTCAATAATTCGAATTTTCTCGGGATTATCTACAAGATTTGATTGTAATGATGCTTTTGAATCCCAAATTAATGTTGGTCCAAATATAATGGCTAAATTTCTTGCATCAATCTAATTAAAAACATTCGATATAAATCAATTAGGTTTTTTTATTACAAACCTTATTAATATTACATTGGGAAGCAACTCTTCTAAAATGTGCACATAAATATTTTAATGTTTCAAATCTATAATCATCTAATTGAATAACAAATCGTTTTAATCCCATTAAACGTTCATAATGATTCTCCATTCGACTTGCTTCAACAGATAAACTACTTATTTCTATAAAAAAAACCGGTAAGAAATTTTAAGAAAAATATTCTTCAAATAAAAATCTTACTTGATGATAGAAGTGAATCGGGTAATTTAGCAAAAAATGTTTTTAATGTTGAAGCAATTGCTTTAACATCATACCATTTTTCTGAATTAAAATCAATTCGTTCTGCACCTTTATCAAATTCTGTTACAAGCCAATTAACAGCCGTTAAACCTCCGGCATGTCGATAAATTCCTTGGCAATTTATTCCACGTAATTCAACTAGACGTGTTAAAATTTCCACAACAATTGGTATATAACGTGATATTGATGATGATTCACATTCTTCTAATTCAATACCAAAATTAGTACCTTGTGAAAGTGTACTAGCACCTGTTGTAGATGATATTGATTCTCCACTACTTTCATCATAAATTTGTCCACTCATTTGACTTGTTAATAATGATGATGATGATTTTAATGTTCGAAGACCTTTTTTTACAATTGATTTAACAAATGAACGACGAGGAGAAACAGTTGATGGAGAATTCAATCCGTTTAATGATGAAATTGTTGGAATTGGTTGAGTTACAGATTTTTGTGATTTACGAAAACGAAGACTAGGTGAACGTTTTAATGAAGGACTTCGAAGAGATATTTTGGATTTTCTTCCATTAGATGGACTTGATTTTGATTGATTCTCACTCTGTGATATTAAACTAAATGAAAGAACAAATTCTGTATGATTAGCCTATAAGAAACATTTTTTATCTTTATTATTAGATTGAAGCAACTGTTGTGATAGACTCATGGTGAGATGATCTTATCTTAGAGAATACTAATGATCTTTCATAGACTAATTGATATAAACAACTTCTACTTACTCTGGTTGACTCGTAGCATGAAGAGTAGGTACAATTGGTGGTAATGATGAAGTACTTTTTCTTGGAGATTTATCATTCTTAGTTGTTATTGGTTCTTGATTATCTTGTTCTGATATACAATGTTCATTAATAACATCTAACCATTCTGATAACGATTGTAAATCTGGTGTTTGAAATAAAAATTCACTTTGATTTGATGTTGTTAGTTTAAAAACTCGTGGTTTTTTTATATAATCACTTGCTAATTCCACATCGGCATTTTGAAGATTTATTGGAAATGAATCACATGAAAGTGGAATTAATAATCCATGTTTTTTTTCTTTACCAAGAAATAAAGCACCACGTCTTAGAACAGCCCATGCTCCACGCCATGAACGATCAGCAGCACGACGACCTTCTTTTAAAACAGTTTTACAATAGAGTATTCCTTCTTTTGATGGTTCAATATTATCAGACATTGTTGTTAATGATATTGATTCTTGTGGATTTGTCGTTGAACTATCAAAATATGAACCAGATTTTGATTGATTACCCGATGATGATAGAGGTGATAATGATGAGCGATGATCAAGTGCATGAGTTACTTCTGGCGTCTAAATTTCATATCATAAAACTTAGAAAAATAAATCGAATCATAACACATCAACTTACTCCTTCACCAAAAAAATTCTTTAATTTTTTAATTGCTTGTGTTTGATACTGCGATGAATTTCTACAAAATTAAACATATACATAATTCATATTTTATTTGATAAAACTAACCTTATCTTCGGCTGTTGTACATGTTGAATATCATCATATATATAATTATCATTTTTATTTGTTCGTATAAAATCTGAAGGGATATAACCTCTTCGATTCATCATCTGTTGATCAGTAGCCATTAAATATGATGTTCGACGTTGTTTTAATTCTTGTTCAGATGTTCTTGGTGCTACACCATATTGAGATACTATATTTATAGAAAAGAAATAGATTTATATGTAAATATGAAACACATATCTTTAAATAAAACCTTTCCGTCGGAGAATAGGTGTTTCAGGGTTAAAAGACAAAGCAAACTGACCACAAACATGCACATTAACTAGATAATTAGAATTTAAACACAACAAACAATATTTAGATATCTGTTTTTTTTAATCATACCAAAATCTGTTGGTTCATTTTGATGAGCTGATCGAACAGCTGTTATATAAGAATCTTGACGAATTAAATTAACACCTGAAGTTCGTGATGGAGAAATACTTGAATAATTATTCAATGTATATCGTTGACTAGAATTAAAAATAAATTTAAGCAAACAAAAAATAGCAATTCTAAACCTTTCATTTGTTAGTAATGGTGAATATTGAGATGATGTTCTTTGAGATGAATTGGTTCGTATTGGTTCAATCATATATCGAGGCTCATAATTATATTCAATATTATTTATTTCATTAGCTAAATAAAATGGGTTTTTTTTTGAAAAAAAAGAAACAAAATCATCTGGTATATGTGGACAAAAACAGATGTTAATTGTTTTTGATAATTATTTATGCAGAAATTATTAGAAACTGTCTAGCGTAATATCAATAAAAACAGAACTTTGTCAGACATTGTGTATGGACAATAGGATTATCATAACCTTAGACAGTTTTTTATTTATATTTAGATAGAAAAAAAAGAATATTACCTCGTGGAATTTGAAATGAAGAAGTTGAATTAAATGATGTTGCTATTGGTTTAACCATTTTAAATTGTGATTCATAAAAACTGATTTGATCAGAATTTGTATTTTGCATTTCATCATCTTGATAGACAATATTTTCTTGTTCTGATGGTGGTGGTGTATTTGAAGGTTTAGATTTAAATCTTGTAAATTTATCTGGATCAATATCTTCAAAATGTGATGCACGTGCCATAACAGATTCAACATCACCTGTTGTTGTTAAACGATTCCATTCATGTTCATATTTTTTCTTTTCAGAATATTTTTTTGCTTTCGAATCACGTTGTTTATCATGAACAATATTTTCTACATGTCCTGTTTCAAATTGTTTCTTACGAAAATTAACAAATTCAGTTTTCTGTTCTTTATCATTTGTTATTGAATCTGTTGATGGTGATTTTATTTCATCACGTGATGATGATGGTGATGTCCATTGATTTTGATCTTCAGATGGAAGATTAAATGATGAATTACCCAATGGAATAAATGATGTTTGTTGTTGTTGTTTATAATCATAAGGTATATAATCATTATGATATGGAGATTGATAATAAGATGTTGAATTATCTTTTGTTGGTTGTTTAGATGATGATGAATCTAAAGCTTTATGTACAGATTCAATATAATTTGAAAAAATATTTTGTGAAGTAGGTGCGCTTGATGATGGAAAATAAATTCCAGCTTGAGCAAGTTCTTCTTGTGTTCGACCTTGAGCTAAATTTATTTGTAAATTACGTAATTTTTGTTCAATTGTATTATTTGACATGTTTATTGGTGAAGGACGACTGATAGATAAAGGTGATTGATGTGTATTCTTTAAGAAATAAAAAAAAACAAACGATTCAATTTATAAGAAATTCATTCTCTATATCTCCTCAATCAACTTTTTAATAAATAGAAAAAGCATCATACTCACACTACGGATCAAATTATAATCCATATATATATATATATATATTGTCTTCAAATCTGTAATACGAGTCTATTTTGTTCAATTCTGTTACGTATCTTACAGAAAGAGGATATAGTTATATAAAGTCATCAAATAAATGCTTATTATAGAACGATGTCTATATCAGAATAAACGCCGACAAACTGTGCATAAGTATTAGATTACCAACTAAAGTTATCTCATACACTATATATCTCTTTTAGTGATGAATAAAAACTTACTAAAGAAATAACATCATCTTCTTTTGGTAGAACATTAAGTATAAGATCGTGAGGACTAGAAAGGGAAAAAAAAGATATACATTAAATTTATTTTTATATATAGTTGAATACAGACGTATTTTGAATAAGAGAAATCACTTGTGCATAAGTTTTTCCTTGTATTAATTGATCATTAACAGTTAATATTCGATCACCTTGTCTTAAACCAGCTTTATAAGCTGGACTATCATGACGAACTTCTTTAACAAATATTGTATCCATTGATTGAAAATTTTCATTCGGATAAATTCCATCATCTTCGATGTTATCTAGGATATAAAAAAAAACGATGCAGACATAACTGTTTCTTTTTGTTTTTCTTGTATAACATATAACATGTCGCATCAATTAATTATAAATAGATAGACCAGGACAAAAAAATGGTTATAAGGATTTTTTTGTTTTTTTTTCTGCTTACCAGTGCTGATAATTTTCATGGAATTTGATGACGATAATCCTTGTTGTTGTTCTCCTTGATGATGTATAAGAGTGGTTGATGAGGAAGGAATTATTGTCGATGTTGTTCCTCCTTCTAATTGCTTTTGCTGATGTTCATCGATTACAACACTATATGAAGCCTAATAAATAATAAATATAATTAATTGTTGATACGTCATTAAAAATAGATATGTATATAAGTTTCTATATCTGACTATTAAAAATTTATTAGAATTAACTAAGTTAATAAACAAAGAAGAAGAAGAAGAAGCAAACAATAAAAATTAAAATATATTACTTGATATATTTAGATCTAAATATTACTAATAAATAGGAAATCATAAGTTCTTTTTCTTAATAATACTTACTTGAAGAATATTATTAAGAGGAATTGATTGTGGATAGATAATAAAATGACGAAGTGTAAAACCAAAACCACCACCTAAATAATCATTTGATCGACAAATAAAGATTTTCTTTGTTTTTTTCATTTGTTTAATAAATTTTTTCCCTTGAAAAAAGAATATATAAATTTCAAATAAGTACACACAAAATGATATTTACTTTGAATAAGCAAAATGATGATAATACAACATAGTTGTTCTGATTAAGAATGATGCTTTCTGAAAGAGAACAAAAAACGGTCTTGTTCTATTCTTATTTACAAGTCGTTCGATAATAGTGATAAGAAAAAATAAGCAAAGTGTCAAATAAAAGGAACGATATTATACGAGCTAATTGCTCTTGTCTACTGACTATAAGACATCACAATCTCCAACATACAAAGTTCACTAAGGTTTTTTTTTGTCTATTCCTATTGCACATAAATGTAAATGCACCTGTATAAAAAAAGAAAAGAATAAAGACAAGGAAGGAAGTGACTCGTTATATTGTCCAGAAATCAATCTCATTAATGATTTACATATACCTTATTCATTAGTTTCTTTTTTGTGAATAATTCAACTTCTATAAATGTATATGTATGTATATATACATCAGATAGATACCGTAAAAAACAAGCAAGTGTGTTGTCTTACATCGAAGTAATAAGAAGACAGAAAGAGAAAAGACCAGCTCATTAAATATGATAGACGAATGTGAGCATCAGTCCGGAAGCGCTCTATATATTGTGATTATCAACAATATGTAGACACGATAAGACAGATGGTCTTATCATTTCATTCGTCTTCGATATATTTCTATTCACCCCTCATACTGAGCTATTGAACTTACTCGCTCATTGATCATCATATTGATGATGCAATATCAACAAGACATATAAAGATAATCAAGTTCATCAATACTCAATCCATAGATAAATAACATTTCTCATCATATCATAGAATTAAATGAAAAGAAAAAGATTAGACTTGTTTTCTTTTTCCTTTTTCAAATTATAAACATTGATATTTATTCTTAAAGATTTTAACCTTGAATACACATGTAAATAAAGAATATTGTTATTTTCTTGGATTCCTCTTCCTCTTCTTCTTCTTTAAACAATAACTGTGTTCTATCTGATGAGATATAATTGAATACAGATACATACTTTCTGTTTCAATAATTCCTAGTAATACAACAAACGATTAGTTTGTTGTCATGTGTGAAAAAAAAGACTTATTTGCTCCAGCTTTAAAATCAAAAAAAAAAAAGAAAAAGTCAATTATAGGTGAAATGAGAATTACCATATGATGACATTCAATGTCGAACGATTTTTTTTACAATCAATAAAACGGAAGTACATATATATATATATATATGGCTCCAGGGATATATACATCATCAGAAATAGAAGAAAAAAAAGAGAGGAGGTGGTCAAATGACGCGTATGTCTGTTTCCGGTGGGCAAAAGGCCACCATCCATTTTACTCAAAAGGTCTCCTAAAGCTATAAATAATAGCTAAATATAAGAATGATTGATTCACAGATCATTCCTTCTAAATATAATAGAACTTAAGATTACCGATATTGATCGATAGATTTTTTTTCTTTAAAAAAAGAAAAAAAAGAAGTCCTTCAACACATTACTTTTCTTCGTTTAATTTTAGTGTTCATCATATGTATGAACAATCTTGTTCTCAAGATTCTTTTTTTTTTTTTTTGAATATTTCAATAAGAATATTACATCATTCTATCCAGGTATTCAATCAATACAGAAAAAAGAAATATGTTCTACTTATGATTGCATGTATTGAACAAGAAGGTGAGGGAGAGAGAGAAAATGATTAAACATGTCCTCAAATCAATTTCTTTTTCTCTTTTCGTACTTAGATGACACAAGAATGTGCCAAATCTCGTAGACGATGAACAGATTAAACGTGTCCAGACATGAAAGGATAGGTTTTTTTAATGTCCTTTTCGTTTATGTTTTCTATCATCGTATTAACATGAAATTCAAACAGAGATTAAATCATATCATTTGAAAATATAAACTACTTACAAATAGAAGATAATCATTCGTAACTTTCATCAAAGCGCATTGCCTCGTTTTAGCAAATATTATTAACATCTCTATCGTTTATATATAGATATACATTTATTGTTATTCTTTCTAACAATATCTCTTCTTCTTTTTTTTCCAGATCGCTGATAAGAGAGAAAGAAAGACTCATGTCATAATATTATACATGCACACGTCAAAAAATAAGAAGAAGTATACTATATCCATTATAAAACAAAAAAAAATAATCAAGTGTCCATTGGACATACTTCAAAGAAAAATGATATAATACATTATTACACTAAAAATAATAATCGCATAACTAAAATAAATAATCGAGTGTCTGAAAACTAAAGAATAAACTTACTATTAAAAGAAAACAAGATGTATGTTTATATGTCTAATACTTTTATTTATCAATTATTAAATCAATAAAATTACTGATTATAATATTTTTTTTAGAATAATTCGAGTTTTCTTTGTTCGCTTAAAGTAAAATATAAAGAATAGATCCAATCGAAATCTGACGCTACTATCGAATATTTTTTTGAAATTCATTTCTATTGAAATATTTTGTTTTATCTTGTATTTAATATGATTTCAGTGATTAATATATATTTTTAATATATTACTAATGATAGTAATAGAATTGAACCCTAGATCGAGGTATATAGAAATGTTCGAGAACATGTTAATCGACTGAAAATAATGACGAACGGAAAAGAATACATATATAAACAACAGACGATATGCACTAGTTCAGATTATTGTTAAATATATTTCTTAGCGATTATCTATTCGTTGTTATTTCTTTCCTGTTAAAAATGACAAAAACAATTACATCAACAAATTCGGCAACAACTACTAAAAGAACAACAAAAAAAAAGGCTAAAGATCCAAATGCACCAAAACGTTTTCGAACAGCTTATATTTTATTTTCCGTTGAAAAACGTGAGGAAGTTAAAGTAATTATTTTAATTGAGATTTTTCTTTTTTTGTATTATATACTTTATATTTTTATTCAGAATGATAATCCAGGTTTGTCAGGAAAAGAAATGCTAGCAGAACTTGGTGCTCAATGGAAAGCTGCTGATGCAGCAGTATGTTTGATTATCCACATTTGTTTTTTTTTCCATTGATTTTGAATTTTATTTAGACTAAACAACGTTTTCAAAAATTGTCCGATGCTGAAAAAAGTGAATATGAAGAAAAAATGGCTGCTTACAAAGGTGAACAAGGTGATAAAGAATCAGCATCAAAAGAAAATCGTAAAAAGAAAAAATCTTCGAAAAAAGATGAAATTATAGATAATGGACTTGATAATTCAATGGAAGATTAATTATTTATATTTATACCAATATTTATTTGTAACATAAAATGAGTCTTATTTCTCTTGTTTCTTTTTTTTTATGATTTTGTATATATGTGTTCCTTCATCTTAATTTATGTGTGCCTTTTCCTTTCTATCCTATTTTTTTTGTACATGTATGAAGCTCATTTTCTCTCTCTCCCTATTTATGGGCGTTGCTCGATTGACACATTAATAATGAAATAAAAATAAAAACTATTTAGTTATATATAAACTTTATAAAAATTCATTCATCCTATTTCATGTATTTAAATTTTATAAGTATAAAATAGACAATTACAATAGTATATGTATGTTCAATCTAAGAATAAATTGTAATGGAATCGTTTAATTGCGATTGTTGGCAGGAGATTCGCCACGTTCTAGTCGTGTATTAATATCATTAATAACCGGAGGTAATTCGGAAATTGTATCAATTAAATAGTGAGGTTTACTTGGAGCAAATAATGCATCAATACGTTGACGTTCAGAATTTAATCGTTCAGATGAAAGAATAGAATATTCATCCCAAGTTAGACCGAGAAAATTGCCAGAAAATCGTAATCCTACTGTCCACATTCCTGCACTATGACCTTCGATAATACCTGGTAGAGTATCATCGATTTTAACACAAGCAGCTACATCATCAAGACCTAATGCAATGACATTGGCTAATGCTTGTGCTGGACTAGGACGCCCTTTGGGTACTTCATCAGAAGCGACTGTATAATCTGGTGAATAACCAGCCTTAGCAGCTAGTGGTATTAGTTTTTCCATCACTTCCTTGGGATAACCAGATGTAGAACCAATTTTTAAACCAGCTTTTCGTAATGCAGTGATAGTATCTAATGCTCCAGGAATCAATGTGGAATATTCTCCAACTTTAGCAATTTGTAATGGCATAAAACGTTTATAGATTTCATTCACATCGATATCATTTGGTAAACGTCCAAATCGCCGTTGAAAACGTTCAGATATATTTGGTTGATTACAAAGTGTATTAATATGATCTCGTTTACCTATACCCATAGGTCCACGTGCTTCATCTAAAGTTATTTCAATGCCGACACTTGCAAAAGCTTCTACAAAGATACGTGTTGGTGCAAAACTACCGAAATCAACTACAGTTCCAGCCCAATCTAAGATTACAGCTTGTAAACGAGTTGGTAATTGATAACGCATAACTCAATCTACATAAATAATAAAATGTCTAAAAACAGAAATAAATAAATTTAATTTTCTTTGAATATTTAATAACAGAAAAAAAAGAAATTAGAGAATATTTTACTAAAGATATGTCTATTTATTATGATAAAATAGTACTGGTATATTTGTACAATCATATAAAGAGTATGATTAAAATGATTTTTGTCGTTAGTATATTTATGTAATTCGAAAAACAAGCAACATATGACGATAGATTAGTATACATAGTACGTAATCATTATTGACAATAATATAAAAATTTATTTTCTTATTCTCGCTCTGATCAAGGATTTTCTTTATACTCACTTCATAGAAGGACACATGGTTGGTGATGAAAAACAATAATGTATTCTGTTTCTATGTAAAAGGAAGAAGAAGAAGAAATGCTATTAGTTTAACATTTTCTCAAAACTTTTCACGATAATTATGAATTTAAAAATAAGTGCTGTCCTTTTTTCTTATCAAATGTTAGAAAATTATTTTATTCTTGCTATACAATGATTGTTTACGAAAATATGATTTAGAACCTTTTCTAATCTCTTATCCTTAGAGAATGTAATTTTTCTTTCTGATATTTCATCAAAAGATTCTTCATGCAAAATACTTCATTGACATTATCAGACGTGTACACAAAAGAATGACTGTTGTTACATTTTGTCTTCCCGGACTAGTTTTTGCTTGTTCTCTTTATTAACTATAATATTCTTTTTTCTTTCTCCTATCAAATGCTCTCTTTTATGTCACTTCATATTATCACTAACATGCTGTATACTACTTGACGCTCTGCATCATAATGATCGTAAAAAAAAACAAAAAAATACATCTATATATGTGAATTAAAGTTTTCTCACAGTGCACAAATACAACTTTGTGAAATATCGATAGAAGTCTAATTGATCTTCTATTATCGATGTCAATTTGTAAAACAAGTTTTTAACAACAACTTTTCAAAGACGATTTTTCTCCTACTTCGATAATGTTAATAGTAATAAAAAAAATCTACATATTATTTTACTCTTAAATTACTTTAAAATAATTCAAATTTGTAATAGCTTCAGTCAAATAAAACGAAAGATATACTATCATGATTAATAAATACTGAACAGAGATGATGGATTTATTAAAAATCATTTTAAATATAGTAATAATTATTTATCAAATCAATATGTATATAAAAGTAGATAGTAAAATAAATCTTCGAGGTTTAGTCGTCTTAAATGAATGTAAATACTGCGTACGGACCATACAGTTGACGCAAAGATATTTCTGTCTAATACAGAACAAAAGTCAACATAACTCTCACTTCTCATCAGATAAGTGAAATACTCAATCGGCTGAATGGTATTTATAGATCAGTAGAGGGAATAATTGGTGACCGTTCATTTCGGTAAACGACAGTTCGTCCCCTACTATTCGTCCGGCACGATTCGGCCTAAATACCATTTGTCCGATTTCATTTTGTCTCTTTACAATTCGTCCTAATTATCTCTTGTCCCATTACACTTCGTCCTTTTACACCTCGTGCAAATTTACTCCTTCTCATATATTTTATGATGTAGTTTTTTGAAGAGCAATTTCCATAGGAATTAAAAAACCAACTTGAGGACAGGTGTGAGTGTGGGTGAGGGTGTAGGTGTGGGTGTGGGTGTGGGTGTGGGTGTGGGTGTGGGTGTGG